TTTTTTTTTTTTTTTTTTTTTTTGAATTATTGTGAGATCTCACATCAGGTAGGGAGGAGAGTGAAGCATTCTTTGTAAGGGTGTGAAAATCTCTCCCTAGCAAGACGTGTTTTAAAAACCTTGAGGGGAAACCTGAAAGGGAATGCCCAAAGAGAACAATATTTGCTAGCAGTGAGCTTGGGCTGTTACAAATGATATCAGAGGCAGACACCTGACGATGTGCCAGCAAAGAGGCTGAGCCTTGAAGGGGGGTGGACACGAGGCGGTGTACCAACAAGGATGCTGGGCCTTGAAGGAGGATGGACACGAGGCGGTGTGCCAACAAGGATGTCGGGCCTCGAAGGGGGATGGATTGGGGAGGTCCCACATCGATTGAAAATGGAACGAGTGCCAGTGAAGATGCTGGGCCTCGAAGAGGGGTGGATTTGGGGGTCCCACATTGATTGGAGAATGGAATAAGTGCCAGTGAGGACATTGGGCCCTGATGGGGGGGTGAATTGTGAGATCCCACATACGTTGGAGAGGAGAACGAAACACCTTTTATAAGGGTGTGGAAACCTCCCCCTAGCTGATGCGTTTTAAAAACTTTGAGGGGAATCTCGAAAGGGAAAGTCCAAAGAATACAATATCTGCTAGCAGTGGGCTTGGGTTGTTACAAATGGTATCAGAGCTAGACACTTAGCGATGTGCAAGGACGCTGAGCCCCGAAGGGGGAGACACGAGGCGGTGTGTCAGCAAGGATGCGGGGCCTCGAAGGGGGGGACATGAGATGGTGTGTCAGCAAGGACGCGGGGCCCGAAGGGGGGTGGATTGTGAGATTCCAGTCGGTTGGGGAGGAGAACAAAACATTCTTTATAAGGGTGTGGAAACCTCTCCCTAGCAAACGCGTTTTAAAAATCTTGAGGGGAAGCCCGAAAGGGAAAGCCCAAAGAGGACAATATGTGCTAGCGGTAGGTTTTGAGTCGCTACAATTATACTAAAATATCTCCCAGGGATGGCCCCATTGGCTAATGTACGTGGTCTCTGAGTAACATGTTACTCAACCCTGAGGTCACATGTTCAAATCTTCGAGTGAGCTTAATAGAGAAAATCCCTGATATCTCCAAAGTTCGGGCTGGCCTTAGGGTGGCGCTTACGCTTTCTTAGTAAAAGTCCTATGATTAAACATCTATATACAATCATTTATCCTTTCCTGCCTTCATTTTGTCACAAATCACCACTATCACCATTCCAAAGTTATTTACATTTCCATTGCTGTTATCATAGAGGTCAACGATTCGATTCGTTCGTAAACAGACTGAGTCGTTTTTCTTCTCAATGTTACATTATTTCTTATTCTCTTGCACTCTTTGTTCTTACTGTTAAAACTTAGATAGATAGACGCTATTCGGTCTGAGCCATGTAAATTTCGAGCATTTAGTTATCTACCTAAGAGATTCGTGCACCAACAAAACATTTTCATATATGGAAGATCATTTATTGTTATCAGGTATTATATTGCACCGTCAGGCAAGAAACTTCGTTCGATGGTCGATATCCAGAAGTACGTTGTTCTATATCATGCTTCAGATTTTTTTGTCTTAATGTTTATTATCTTTGCTTGATTGACATTTTGTGAACAATCTGTGGCCATGTCTGTTCATCTTGTTCTATAGATACTTGATTGAACATCCAGAGTACCAAACTGAAGGTATATCGATGAGACGATTTTCGTTTCAAATCCCGAAGCCTCTGCAGGAAAATTACGTGAGGAAGCGTCGTGCCCATATCAATGCATCATGCGACGGTTCCAAGCTCGAATCAGGCGGAGGTACTTGTTTTCTGTTTGCCACTTTAGACCCTGCATGGCATGTTAAACGATACGAAGCTATAATAGCATATTTTCGTGTTTGAGCAGTGAATCCATTATCGTGCGCTCCCCCGGACAGTTCTACTGCATTACAGCTCGGAAGACCTGGGCTCCCGGAGCTACTGTCAGCTGCACCGATTAACAATCACGTCGTTCGACCAGCAAAGAAAGTGAAAAGAGCTCTAGCAAAGAAGATGGAGATAAGTTCTCTTGAATTGCTTGAGCTTCCTTCTTTAAAGTTGGATCAATATGAAAAGTAGCATTCCTGTTGTTTTGTTGGGCTATATATATATATATGAAATGTATATTATTATCATGTATAAAACCTTATAGGATAATGTTTGGTCTGAAATTTGGCTAGACTTTTGGATTAATTCATACCCTAAAATCTTTAACACGTGAAATACTATTCCGATAATATTTAGAAGTAGAAAGAGAAATATCGGAAAAATAGTTGTAACAGCTCAAGCTCAAGCTCACTATTAGTAGATATTGTTTTCTTTGGCCAACAAAGCTATGACACCGTTTGGTGTCCACTCTCTTTCAAGGCTTAGTGTCTTCGCTGGCACACTGCTCGATGTCTGGCTCTAATACCATTTGTAACAGCCTAGACTCAGTGTCTTCGCTGGCACACTGCTAGTAGATATGTCCACTCTCCTTCAACCCTAAACCCAAGCCCACTGTTAGCAGATATTGTTTTCTTTGGCCAACAAAGTTATGACACCGTTTGGTGTCCACTCTCTTTCAAGGCTTAGTGTCTTCGTTGGCACACTGCTCGGTGTCTGGCTCTATTACTATTTGTAACAGCCCAAGTCCACTGGTTGTAGATATTCTCTTCTTTGAGATTTTCTTTTCGAGTTTTCCTTCAAGATTTTTGAAATGTGTCTGCTAAGGAAAAGTTTTCACACCCTTTATCCATGCTCTTATAAAGAATGCTCCGTTCTTCGTTCTCCTCTTCAACTGATGTGGGATCTCATAATAGTACAGTAGAGATTTATATGTCTACCTCTACGAGATGTCTTTGTCAGGTTTCAATCGAGCTCTAAACAAGTTTGATGATCGGATTGATGATTGAGCTCCATGAATTTAACAATCTCCTACTCGGAGACTAACGAGCAATATTCATATGATAATAGTTATGTACATACTCGAGATTAGGGTTTATTGTTGGTTTTATCTTTCAAATGCAATCATTGATTAATTAGAATTAGGATTCGATTGTTTAATTCTTTAGTTAGCTAGGATAAGTTTATTTTATTTTGATAATTCCTAGGTTAACTTTGAGATCGCACATCGGTTGGAGAGAGAACGAAACATTTTTTATAAGGGAGTGGAAACCTTTCTTCTAACCGACCAAAGCGTTTTAAAATCTTGGGAGAAGCATGGAAGGAAAAGTTTAAAGAGCCGAACGAAATGACAGTCTTAAAATCTTGGGGGAAGCTCGGAAGGGACACAATGTTTGCTAGCGGTAAATTTTAGGGACTGAATCGAACTTTTCCTAAATCATAGGAACTAAATTTAAAATTTACCTAAAATTATTTTTTATTTTTTTTGAAATAACAATTCTCTATAATATTTCCAAAACTTGGCCCAAATTTCATTCACTGAACAATTAAGGTCCAAATCTGTTTACAAATTGGGCTTAGAGGCCCATTCACTAAACACTGGTTTAATTTTATTTATTAATACCTATATTATAAATATAGCCTTAAATTTATATTTTTGAGTTTATTTACAAGTCAATATTAATAATTATTTTCAAATAAATGATTTTAATAAAATTTAAAATTATAAATTATAAATAATTAGTTTGATAATCAAATTAAAAAATTAATTATAAATGTCACATTTCAAAAATTAAATATAACTAATTTATTTCCCTACTTCCAATTCCTTTATAAACCATTGACAAATAAAAGGTCGAAAAGGAATCGAGAGGCTTTCCGTTTATAGGATCCGATCCATAAAAATTTTATTTATTTGAACTCAACTCAGCCTAAATAAGTTTAGGTAATAACCAAGTTATAAAAGAAGAACCCTAGTTTCGTACACATTTTTTTGTGAGTCACTAGAATCTCCGAGATCTCAATAGTCTACGTACTTCCACCCAACTTCCTGCCATCACTTTTCGAGTAACTACTCCCTCTCAGTTGATTTCGAGACCTACTATTCTGAGAGGGAGAACACACTAGGAAAAAAGGAAAAAACTTAAGAACGTAGTCAGATCGCATTCATGAAACTTGTCTAACGTGTTGTGACCTTAATCTTTTAGTGCCACTGTCGCACAACAGTGAAAATGATTGGTAACATCGAGTATTCATTGGAATCGTCAAAGTCATGAGAGAAGATAAGCCAAAGCCAAGTAGCTAGCAATTTGTACATTGGTCGTCGTCGAAAAGAGAGATCAAAATCAATTTAAAAAAAAAGGGAAAAAAAGGGCAAGGCGAATGAACTCCAAAACTAGGTCAAGAAGAAGAAATTCACGAGTTAGTTTCAAACTCAGGTTCGAATTCGAGTAGATCCAATAATCATCAGACGCAAATCCAACCATCACAGGTTACTGCCCCAATCGACGAAGGCGTGACCCACACTAAGCAACAACCCAGAGCTACTCTTGTTTGACTCCAGCTCAGTGTATGGGATTTATCCAGCTCGAGTTGGGTTAGAACACATTTTTTACTACAAACCGTGGATTAGGTTAGATTAATAATAAGTACCTTGTAATTTAAAATAATAATAATAATAATAGTTTATTGAATTATTATTAATTTTGGAGAAGTACACATTTATTTGTACAAATAAAATAAAAAAAATTTAAAACTTTAGCCCATTAATTTTTAATTCTGAAATTGAATCATCATGTGACATTCGAGTAAAAGAAGTACATGAATAAATCGTGACCACTTTGACCCATTACATATCATTGTCATTCTGACAGTTTTAAAACTTATCTGATAGAGAGAGATTTCCACACCCTTAAAAGAAATGTTTCATTCCCCTCTCCAACCCATGTGAGATTTCACCATCTACCCATTCCGGGCCTAACATCTTCACTGACACACTGCTTGGTGTTTGATTCTGACTCTTATAAAAAATGTTTCGTTTACCTTTCCAACTAATATGAGGTCTCACAATTTAGTTACAATTAAAAAAAAATCAAATAATTATCAAACTAGATCATTTTTTTGTAATATTTTAAAATATGAAAAAAATTAAACACAAAATTTATCATCGAACTTTTTTTTAAAATTATAGATTTAGCGATAACTGGACTCTAAATTGTTAGTACGTAGTAGGAGCGGTCTATCCCTATTTATTTTTGTACTCCAAATTTTTTATATTGATATTTAAACTCTTAAAAACTTTATAAATTTTTATGGGTATGGAATGAAAATAAGAGTTTTATAATATAATAAATTTAAAATGACTAGGGGTGTACATTGTCCAGTTGATTGGGTTGAGAGATTTTTATTACCCTACCCAAAATTTTGGGAAATTTTCGAGTTGAGTTTGGATTGGGTTGTCAAATTGTGAATGTTTTTTTAAATTTTATTTATCCATAATTTATAATTATTGGAGATACTATTTTAAATAATATATATATATTAAAAGTTCACCAACAAACAATCTATAATTATTCACATACAAAAATTAATAAAAAACAACAAACAAAAATGGTAACATATTAACATAGTTTAACATTGTCATAAAATTAAAACTAAAACAGCTAAATACCAACATTTTTTTAAAATTAGTTAAAGTAAGAAAAATATAAGGATAGATCATCAATTATTTGTCATAAAACTAAAGCTAAAGACAGCTAAATAATACATTTTTTTAGAATTGGTAGGATCTAGTCCTACCCTAAACAAAATATGACGATAGATATTAAATAATATGGTGTGATCTCTAGTCCTAAACTAAACAAAAGAATGACGAATTGGTTAAAGTAAGAAAAAATATAAGGATAGATCATCAAATTAAATAATAAATATAAGGATAGATATCTATTAAATAATATGGTGTGACCTTTAGTCCTAAACTAATTTTTTTTAATATAAATTATATATTTTTATTTAGTTCGGGTTAACCCGAAGGTTTTATCTACGAACTCGAAACCGAACCAATTCAGTTCGGGTTCAGAAAATGTACCAAACCCTACCCAAAATACTAATCCAATCCAACCCAACCCAACCCAACCCTTATAGTTCGGGATCAATTATTCTGGATTGTCGGGTTGAATTTACACTCTTAAGAATAAATTAAAATCTACTATTTATAAATATAAATATCTAATCAATTTTAAAATGTAAAAAGAACAAAATAATAATTTAAAGGAATATGCTTGATAGCCACGTGTCAAATTTTCCACATGCCCACGTCAAGTCTATTTGGGAACATAAATCTGTACCTAAACGGTCATATTCACCCTGACTTGGATTCCCAATACCTTTGTGGGTCTCATGAATTTATGACAAGACATCCAATCAGCATTCACAAACCACCTGTCCAATGAGGATTTGCCACGTTTATTGGTTAAAAAACATTTAAAAGACAGCATGGCTCCCACTTGGAAGACAGTTGAAACATCTTGCTTTGTTCTTTGCTAGCACTTTTTTAAGTCTTATTTCAAAATTTGGTTTTTAAATTCCCTAAATTACCCAAAACCTTAATAATCCCATTTCGGGTTTTTTTAATATATATTAACGAGACCATTTTGAGATCATACATTGGTTGGAGATGGAAACAAAACATTGTTTATAAGGGTATGAAAACATCTCTCTACACGCTTTAAAAACCCTGATGGTAAGTCCGAAAAAAAAAGCTCAAAGAGGATAGAGTTTGGGCTGTTACAAATGGTATCGGAGCTAGACACTAGGTAGTGTGTGAGCAAGGACGCTGAGACTGGAAGGGGAGTGGACACCGGGTGAAGTGGGGGCGGGGGGGGATTGTGACATCCCACATCGGTTGAAGAGGGAAATAGAATAATTTTTTTAAGGGTGTGAAAACCTATCCTCTCGCAAGCAAAATCGTTTTAAAAACTTTGGGGGAAACCCGAAATGAAGTTCTATACTAGAACTATACTATCTCCTGAGATCAAATATATAAAAGAAAGGTTTATAAATCTTATTTTAGATTGAGACATTTCATAATCTAACTTGATCGAGGCTGTATTGAATGATGTGGATGCAATCTATAATAAGAATTGTAAGAGAACTTGTTCGTGCCAAAATTTACTTCGAAAGCTCTAAAGGTTCATTTCTCTCTCAGAATAGTTTGTAAAACAAGATGAAACGAAGGTTGGACGTAGCCTATCAAATTTGTAGGTGAAGACTAAACGCTTGTTGAATCTTCTTGAATATATGTCGTGTAATATGCCCAATTGGGGCTTGTGGAAAACAAA